CTGGCAAGCAATCCATACCCAGTGGCGGCGCCTCCCCCCGCCCCACCTCCCCCAGAATGTGCAATCGCTCAGCATCCCTTCTTACATGAACACTACTGACCCCTCATACATCGTGTCTCTTGAATGCCTCTCCTCACCACAAACCGCAAGAGTATATACCGGCTGGCTTTATGACCACTAGATGGGTAGGTCGTTGACAAGTGGAGGGTTCTTAATTAAGACCCCGTTGCCGCGTTCTCTCCCGCTCTTTCTTACAGACACACTGCAAGTTTTGGACGACAAAAAATGCACACAATTACTTGGTGGCCGCCCGCCATATCACATATAATAGTCTTTAACTGAAACACCTGAGAGCAAACTGGCCATTCACGACGTGAAAAAAAAAAAAGAGCAGAATTGCTTAGTGACCGCCCGCCGCATCAGGAATGGTCTTCAATTGAAACACCTGAGAGCAAACTGGGCATTCATAATTTTGGCCTTTCTTCAACTCAAACCACACCACGTCGTGTTCCTCCTCACCCACCCCTCCTGAACACCCAACAATCCGCCACTCGAATTTCGACTCGATGATGGCTGGCGCCTCCTTCGTTCCAAAAGGCCCACGTGGCGGCTCCAGATCGAACCTCTTCTTTCCTGTCAATTCGCCTTCAAGTTCCTCCCTCTCCAAACCGGTCATCTCCCTCTCGATGTGGTTTGACTCGTCAGAGGTGGAAGAATTGTCAGCAACAACGGCCGCGAGACGACATCCCCCTGCTGTCCAGAAAGAACGACCAGAAAACGCAGCCGTCGATAAAGCGCGCGCATGACATCCGCTGGCCGATGCGCTCACCCTTGCGCCGGAACCGCTACTGCTTACACCGCTGGCAGCGGAAAGCTGCGGAAAGGGTACAGGAGGAGAAACAGTAACCGACCCTCGCGGGGCGGCAAGGATCCGGCTCACAACCCCGCGCAATTTCGTTACCGCCGCGCGCGACATCTCTCAAGAACCTCGCGCTCTCTATCGCCTTGAAAGCCCAATTCTCTCTCTCTCTCTCTCTCTCTCTCTCTCTCTCTCTCTCTCTCTCTCTCTCTCTNTCTCTCTCTCTCTCTCTCTCTCTCTCTCTCTCTCCGCGTCGAATTTCCGCCCGCGCGCCCTCCCCGTCACCTCCCGTCACGTTACGCAGACGTGCTCTCCCCTGCCCTCGCTGGCGCCTTATCTTCCACCCACGTGCGGAGCGATGTCGCCCTTCGCCTGTTTCGTGCCTCTCTCTCTCTCTCTCTCGGCACTTGGGACAACGTGTTCTGCTCGTAGCTATGGCCGTCGACGGAATTCCCAGTGTCTACCACGGGAAAACACAGGATGGCCGAGACGCGGTGGAGCCAAAACCGAGGTTTGGCGTTGGTCGATAGGATGACGGCCCCCGGTAGTCTACGCCAGTAGTAGACTTGGCTGCCGGGGCAAGATGCGCATTTCTTTTTTTCCCGCCTTCTGCTTTTTTCTCAGATTTTGGAAGAAATCGCCCCCTCCAACCCCCGGCCCACCCCTCCTCGACTCTAAAACCAAACAGATCCGAACCGCCCCCGAGCCCCTACCGGGCCTCTTTGGGAGCCCTTCGAATTCACGAGCTCGGTTTTTTTTTCACCAGGACAGGGTACTGGTGGTTGAAAAGCGAAAAAAGCGAAACTGGGGGCTTCACGATTTTTCACCATCACCACTTCACTGCCTACTCAACATGCGAACTCGGGGTGCTGCCGATGACACGGGCTCAGTCATCCAATCCTCTACACTACAACTGGCCCTCCTAAAAGCGGACCTGGATCTGTTTCTTTTTTGCAGATTCTTGGGTACCGGGGTAATGTGGGGTAAATTGGGGTAAATTGGGGTAAGGGCGTCGCCACACCAACGCTCGCAGCCAGAAGGGCTGCGCTTCTGTGTGTGTGGGTTGCTTTTCAACGTTTCGCCTACCGGTAGTAGCTTTCTTTAGAGCAGGCTGCCGGCGGAGGTCCTTCTGACTTTGTTCTTGACGCTATCCCTGGTTTCCTCTTTGGGACGAAGGGAGACCGAAATCGTGAGGCCGGAAGGGGTTGGGAGGGGGCAGTCGACCCTTGTTTTTTCGTTGGACAACATTCCACGCATCTGGACCTCTAGGAGCCCCATACAAATTTAGTTAGAATCATGGGTCTGACCTCTGGACACACGAAACAAAACAAACGGATGCATCTGCCCACAGAAGGTGGAAGAATACGTTCATTACTAGTTACAGCAAACAGATGAATAATTCCATGTTCTGCAGGCAAATGCACTCATCTCTGTTTTTTGCCTTTAGAGCCTCTTTCAACACCACTTGAAAGTACTTGAGTTTCAAGTGCACACTAAATGAGAAATTGTGATTAATTTTCACTTACTGGATTTAAGGTTCCATGTACACTGGAGGAAACCCTTGAACAGGCTGCACTTGAAGGGGAACTCCACCACTTGACCAATCCTGGACCAGGATCTCCTGCTGGAAAAAAAGAAGAAAAAAAAAAAGGCCCCACTTGGAGTGCTGGCGGTAGCACTTGAACTCAAGGTACCTTTGGGAGGTGACTTGAACTCAAGGGCGATTTTGGCTGTGTCTCGCTTGAGTTTCAAGGGCAATTTTGGCTGTGTCGCGCTTGAGTTTCAGGGGCGCACCCTAGGGACGCAAAAAAGTGAAAACAAAGCGAATCGCTCTAAGGGGGGGGTGGAACGATGATTTTTCGCTTCGCTCTTGAACTCGAGTGGTGTGGAGCGAGGCCCTTAGTGTGTCTTGCATAAAATCTCCCTCATGAACGCACAGTCAGGCTCATTCAGAGGACAGTCTCTCTCTCTCTCTCTCTCTCTCTCTCTCTCTCTCTCTCTCTCTCTCTCTCTCTCTCTCTCTCTCTCTCTCTCTCTCTCTCTTTTTAATTCATCTGAATGTAGTTTCCACTGTGATGGATAATGTCGTTGATTGGACAAATATATGTTACCCACGGAATGATAATTGCAACAATTCTCACTGAAATGTATGGCGGTGCAAAAAAATTAATATCGGAAAAGGAAAAAGAAAAGTATGTCTTGATGTGTTGTGACATGGCGTGGTTTGTTCGTCATTAGGCATGATTTAGAATCATTTTTGGAGTTCGGCCACTAGAAGCAGGAGGACAGTACGAGGCCAGTAGAAATAAAGACTAGGAGGACACCACCCAAGGTGGGGCTTGACCACCAGTAAGTAGGAGCTCTATAAATCGGAAGGGTAATACATGCAGGCTCGAGGGAAAGAAAGGGGCTTTGCAGTAAGAAATCCAATGGTCATATGTTCAACAATCATTATATTACAAAGTTGTTTCCAAGGGACGCTGGACCCGTTTTCCAACAGGTGTTGCTCCCCACCAATAGGTAGAGCCTCCTTAGTGGTGCTAGAAGTGTCTGCTCTTATGAGCACTCTTAGCATCTGCTCAAGTTGTTTAAAACAAATAATAATAATATAAATAAATAAATAAATCATTTTTGAGAAATCCATCCATGATTGGGAGAAGAAGTATGGGCCTTACTCCAGTACTCGACATTCTATACATGTCCCTAGACAATCTTCGACTCAATAAAATGCTTTCTCTCTCTCTCTCTCTCTCTCTCTCTCTCTCTCTCTCTCTCTCTCTCTCTCTCTCTCTCTCTCTCTCTCTCTCTCTCTCTC